ACGGCACTAGGTACCGGGGAACAGACAGAGCTACCACAGTCCCCATAGATTACTGGTGAGACTGCACGCCATTTGGCGGCTACTTGCATATGCCACTGCACAGCGCAGCAATTTTAGTCCTCAAAGTTTATCAAAGGTTAAATAAATGATATGACTACACGGAAATGTCAAAGGATGCTCATAGCAACTTATGTGTAAAAGGCAAAAATCAGAATCAGTAAATTCCAGTAAATATCAACAAGTCAATGGAAGAAGAAAATTGACTCATCAGTTCATTTATAAAACTCCAACAGTGTCAGTATTAAACAGAACTAGATCTGGTAGGAGCAACAGTCAAACAAAGACATTGTACAAAAATCTCTGTTTGGAGGCGCAAGCCAGTAACAGTCACCAACTCACAATGCCTTGCTTTGGGGGGTGGGGAGTGGGGTTGGGAAGCTTCCTCCAGAAAGTTAAATGCAGTCTGGAAGCCACTGAACTTCAAAAGAGATGTAGCACCTGTGCGCCACAAATACCCACACCCTTCAACAATGGCTCCATACTAGGAAACGCTTCCCGCTGTTAATCCTCAAATTCTCCAGGAAAAACAAAAACAAAAACAAAAAAACAGATCCACCACTTTGGCCAAATTAAAGCAAGTTTTTATTAAAATGTTAAATATTGGCCAAGATGGAATTTGGTCAGGCCCATCACCTGGGAACTTTCCAGGTGAGTGGCCCCCAAGGCACGTGTTGTCAGGTTTATATGGACAAAACTCACAGGCCACCAGAACTTTCCCATGAGGCTTTGCTGTTATTTTCCAAGAACTACAATTCCCAGAATCCTAGAATGTTACTTAGTCCTTGGGCATGTGGGGCTTACAGGTTAGCTTAGGGTCTAACACCACCATAGACTAATATTTCAACTTACTTTTTCAGGACATTCATAAGTGTACCAAGGAACTTGACCTGGTCATTTCAGGCCAAATCCAGTAAACCTAATCTTGGCAAAATATATCTGTAATATGTAAACATAAAAACTCCTTTCACTTCAGCTGAGAACACAAAGGGGGCCGGGGGGAGGTTAAGGAGAGGAATGAGGGCAAAAAGGGGTCAATATTCTGTGATCTAAGTTAACTCAAAATTCTATTTAAATGAAAGTCAACACAACCATAAAACAAACCGAAAACACACAACAGGCTATCCCAAGCACATCACTATAACCCGAATATCTAATTCCTACTGGGCAGTGAGTGTGTGATTCGGCCTGTTGGGGCAGCAGCAACATACATGAAGAAAAAAAAAATCCAACACAATTTGGAGCTACAGAAACAGAATTCCATAAAAAAAACCACAATACTGTATCTATCATCTGTTACTAATTTAGTTTAAAATAAAGGACATATAAAAAGTAGTGATGGTGGTGGCATCACTAGCCATCCACGGACCAAACCCTATGTGCCAATCTGCCAGAGCTAGTTCATAGCCCTAAATGGTCAATTTGGGAACACATTCACCATAGTCTGGTGTCATTGTATCAGCAGGTTCACAGGCCATGGCACCTGCTGGAGGAAACAGAAAGGACCAAAAGCAGTCAGCCAGATCAGGTTCTCCAACTTGTACCTGCCATTCCAGAGGAAACAGATATAGGAAAAAAACAGGAAGCCATCAACTCTCTGCACAGTTGCCATGATTATGACTTTGAAAGCATGAGCAGCAGTGTCCAAGGCATGAACTCTGGGACACAAGAACAGCCTGGCTCCATAGGTACTCATGCTTACCACAGAAGAGACTCTGAGAAGCAGAGCCATTCTTGAAGAAAAAATATGTTAGGATTTAAACTAAGATCGCAGGGAGAATAGTGCTTTCTGCAGCAATAGTTGGAAGAAAACCCAGTATATTCTTTAACCATTAAAAGTATTTTTCGAAGCTACTCAGCATGAAGTGGTATCAGCAGTGGGAGGTTCAGTAGGAGCAGTGCTGGGGGAATTTATAACCAAGGGAGTTAAAATCTCCTGAATAGGTAACACTCAGCAAACACCTAACAGTGAAAGGCAACACTGTAGAGCAGCAGTTCCCAACCTCAACACTGCAGAGCAGAGGTTCCCAACCTCAATAACACTGTAGAGCAGTGATTCTCAGCCTCAACACTGCAGAGCAGAGGTTCCCAACCTCAACACTGCAGAGCAGAGGTTCCCAACCTCAATAACACTGTAGAGCAGTGATTCTCAGCCTCAACACTGCAGAGCAGAGGTTCCCAACCTCAACACTGCAGAGCAGAGGTTCCCAACCTCAATAACACTGTAGAGCAGTGATTCTCAGCCTCAACACTGCAGAGCAGAGGTTCCCAACCTCAATAACACTGTAGAGCAGTGGTTCTCAACCTCAACACTGTAGAGCAGAGGTTCCCAACCTCAATAACACTGCAGAGCAGAGGTTCCCAACCTCAACACTGTAGAGCAGAGGTTCCCAACCTCAACACTGCAGAGCAGAGGTTCCCAACCTCAACACTGTAGAGCAGTGGTTCCCAACCTCAATAACACTGTAGAGCAGAGGTTCCCAACCTCAATAACACTGTAGAGCAGAGGTTCCCAACCTCAACACTGCAGAGCAGAGGTTCCCAACCTCAACACTGTAGAGCAGAGGTTCCCAACCTCAATAACACTGTAGAGCAGAGGTTCCCAACCTCAACACTGTAGAGCAGAGGTTCTCAACCTCAACACTGCAGAGCAGAGGTTCCCAACCTCAACACTGTAGAGCAGTGATTCTCAGCCTCAACACTGTAGAGCAGTGGTTCCCAACCTCAACACTGTAGAGCAGTGGTTCTCAACCTCAACACTGTAGAGCAGAGGTTCCCAACCTCAACACTGCAGAGCAGAGGTTCCCAACCTCAATAACACTGTAGAGCAGTGATTCTCAGCCTCAACACTGCAGAGCAGAGGTTCCCAACCTCAATAACACTGTAGAGCAGTGGTTCTCAACCTCAACACTGTAGAGCAGAGGTTCCCAACCTCAATAACACTGCAGAGCAGAGGTTCCCAACCTCAACACTGTAGAGCAGAGGTTCCCAACCTCAACACTGCAGAGCAGAGGTTCCCAACCTCAACACTGTAGAGCAGAGGTTCCCAACCTCAACACTGTAGAGCAGCGGTTCCCAACCTCAACACTGTAGAGCAGAGGTTCTCAACCTCAACACTGCAGAGCAGAGGTTCCCAACCTCAACACTGTAGAGCAGTGGTTCCCAACCTCAACACTGTAGAGCAGCGGTTCCCAACCTCAACACTGTAGAGCAGAGGTTCCCAACCTCAACACTGCAGAGCAGAGGTTCCCAACCTCAACACTGCAGAGCAGAGGTTCCCAACCTCAACACTGTAGAGCAGTGGTTCTCAACCCCAACACCGTAGAGCAGCGGTTCCCAACCTCAACACCGTAGAGCAGCGGTTCCCAACCTCAACACCGTAGAGCAGAGGTTCCCAACCTCAACACTGTACAGCAGTGGTTCTCAACCTCAACAACACTGTAGAGCAGTGGTTCTCAACCTCAACACCGTAGAGCAGAGGTTCCCAACCTCAACACTGTACAGCAGAGGTTCCCAACCTCAACACTGTACAGCAGAGGTTCCCAACCTCAACACTGTAGAGCAGAGGTTCCCAACCTCAATAACACTGTAGAGCAGAGGTTCCCAACCTCAATAACACTGTAGGGCAGTGGTTCTCAACCTCAACACTGTAGAGCAGAGGTTCCCAACCTCAACACTGTAGAGCAGAGGTTCCCAACCTCAACACTGTAGAGCAGAGGTTCTCAACCTCAACACTGCAGAGCAGAGGTTCCCAACCTCAACACTGTAGAGCAGTGGTTCCCAACCTCAACACTGTAGAGCAGCGGTTCCCAACCTCAACACTGTAGAGCAGAGGTTCCCAACCTCAACACTGCAGAGCAGAGGTTCCCAACCTCAACACTGTAGAGCAGTGGTTCCCAACCTCAACACTGTAGAGCAGCGGTTCCCAACCTCAACACTGTAGAGCAGAGGTTCCCAACCTCAACACCGTAGAGCAGTGGTTCTCAACCCCAACACCGTAGAGCAGCGGTTCCCAACCTCAACACCGTAGAGCAGAGGTTCCCAACCTCAACACTGCAGAGCAGAGGTTCCCAACCTCAGCACTGTACAGCAGTGGTTCTCAACCTCAACACTGTAGAGCAGTGGTTCCCAACCTCAATAACACTGTAGAGCAGTGGTTCTCAACCTCAACACTGTAGAGCAGAGGTTCCCAACCTCAACACTGTACAGCAGAGGTTCCCAACCTCAACACTGTAGAGCAGAGGTTCCCAACCTCAACACTGCAGAGCAGAGGTTCCCAACCTCAACACTGTAGAGCAGTGGTTCCCAACCTCAACACTGCAGAGCAGAGGTTCCCAACCTCAACACTGTAGAGCAGCGGTTCCCAACCTCAATAACACTGTAGAGCAGTGGTTCTCAGCCTCAACACTGCAGAGCAGAGGTTCCCAACCTCAATAACACTGTAGAGCAGTGGTTCTCAACCTCAACACTGCAGAGCAGCGGTTCTCAACCTCAACACTGTAGAGCAGAGGTTCCCAACCTCAATAACATGAGCAGCAGTTGCCAACCTCAACACTGTAGAACAACAGTTCTCAACCTCAACACTGCAGAGCAGTGGTTCCCAACCTCAACACCATAGGGCAAATGGTTCCCAACACTGTAGAGCAGCGATTCCCAACCTCAACACTGTAGAGCCGTGGTTCTTAACCTTCCTAATGCAGCAGCCCCTTAATACAGTCCCTCATGTTGTGGTGACACCCAACCACAAAATTATTTTGTTGATATTTCGCAACTAATTTTGATACTGTTATGAACCATAATGTAAGTATCTGATATGAGACTCCCAAAGGGGTAGCAAACCACAGGTTGAGAACTGCTGCCTTAAAACATCACAAATTTGAGCCAATAAAGGGCAAATAATCAACTTAAGTCAAAGCAAGGCAGAAGAAGCTTTACTCTCTTACCCGGATCCAGGAGTTAAGTTGTGATTCTCCGGGGGTCTGTGGTTCTTTGTTCATCAGACAACATAAGCACCATATTATAAATTTTTGGCTTTCATCTGCAGAAAATAAAACTAAAATGAGTAGATTTTATCAAATAGGAAAAACCCGTAAGAAAACCTCAAAGCATCAAGCTCGGCATTGGCTTTTCTTCTTGTGGGTTCAGCTCACTGTCCAGCTCTTGTGTGGTCAACTCTTTCTGAAACAGCAGCAGTTTTTAAAGCCAAGTAAGAACGATGGAAAGAGCTGAAAGTGCTGGGCTTTGCAAGATGTTTCTAATTTCACATTTCAAACATCAGTAATTTCAATCTTTTTAAAGCACAGTAACTACTATCTGTTTCTGTTTCTGGTGGCCAAATCTGTTCCAGGTAGAAACTTACAGCACAAGTAGTAAACAAAAATTAAAGCTGTAAACTGAAGCTGTTAGGATACAAGCTACACAGCAAGGCAGATCCTGTGATGGGAAGAGGGCAGGTAGACATACCCAGCCCCTGCAGCATCCTCAAAGACACCCAGAGTTCACGTTCTAGCCTCCTGCAGCTAACAGTGCTTCCAATGGCTTTGCTATCAAAGGCACAAAGACAGGACAAACTACAGGAAATCTCCTCTACATTCACTGAGAGCACCCATCCCTTCCTAATTTCTAGGCCTATTTTTCCTCCAGTGACAATCATTAAGCTTATGCTTTCACAGTAACTAATAACTGAAAAAACACAACAGGGTCATTCTGAGCAACATTCATTTTTCCCTATGAGCTTAAATAAAGCAGGAGGTACAGTTTTACCTGACACACGTTAACTTCCAGACTGGTAACTTTCAACTAATTCTTCAGGATGAACTGATACCCCTGAGAGAAATGTGACTGCTGTGTTTGACCTGGTGTAAATACTAATTCACGAGCAACAGAAATCCCAACAACATGCTTTACTATGGAGTAAAGGAGGATGTGACGTACAAGGAAGCAATTTCAAAAAGGAAGGGAGGAAAATGTTGCTTATGGAGCTTAAACTCCAAGGAATCAAAAGAGGGGTGCTCCCGCTCCCAGGGTGCAGAGTAATTCTATACCCAAGTTCAAGTGTGTATTTTTCTCTCATAAGTAGGGAAGAAAGATCTAGGGACATCCTCCCAGTCTCTGCTCAGAAGTGATGCACTGAGCCACACCACTGGCTAGTGAGCACACAAGCTCACTTTGCTTAGATGGCTCACAGACATAAATAACCCTCTGCTGGTTACATGAGGGCCACCAGCACTCCATACAGGGAATGGCATCCGGGAGCTTCTTCCCCAGAGGGCAAAGGCTGGAACTGGGCATTCCATACCACTGCTCTTTACTGGTAACAGGAAACTGCCTAGGATCCACCAGGACTCAACAGCAGATCTTGGCACAAATTTGAATTCTGAAAATGAGTGGAAGGAAAATGAAATGTGCCAACATGCATCTGCTGCCTAATAGTTAGCTCACTTTCTGGTATCTTGAAATTCCAAATGAAGGCTGCACTCTGTACACTTTAATCCTCAGTTTAGAGGCATGAAACAGCAGTTTTCTGAGATGATGGAGATTATTTTAAGTGGCTAGGCTGTGGTTACTGTCACAGGAACAGACGTTCACAGTGAGGATGGAGGGGCCTGAATCTGCCTCACGTTACAGGAGAGGCAGTATGTGCACAGAGAAGTGACACTGAGGAAGGCGCTTTCACCCTTCATCTCCAGGCCCTTCCTCCTCCCTCTCGTCCTGACTTCTCGCCACGACCGAGTGACTCTTCCCATTAAGCAGATAGGTACTTTGCCTATAGCTGTGGGTTCTGCTTTTTTTGCTGCTGGGTTATTTGGGGTCTGTTTTTCTTTGGTTATCTTGATAGTGGTGGTGTGTGCAACAAGGTCTTAACATGCAACCCAGGCTGCCCACCTCAGCACCCCAAGTATACTTTCACTGTTTCTCATATGAAATTTTGATAATGTAAGACAGAAAGCAACCCTCTCCAGAAAGTGTTCAACTAGCTGAACGACAGTGAAGTAAGAAACCTGAGATCTTATGGGTAGTTCGAAAGGTGACACGGGTGCTGAAACAGCAAGAGCAGAGATGATATAAGTGACTTTCAGCTGCAGTCCACTCAACAGCTTCTTCTCCTTTCTCTCTTGGTCACAGCACACTAGGAGCTAGGAAACCAGTTTGAGCTGCAAATATTTAAAATAGCACGGTGACTCTGAACTGCCTCCATAAATAAAAGCCTTTCGTGGGATGTACTTAACTGTGCACATGTGTGCATCGGTCTATGCAAATTGTGCATGTCTGTGTATTATACTTAAATACACACAGGTATGTTCACAAGTGTAGTTCAAGTCAAAGATACTCAGAAACCAGCCTGGCTACACAGCATATAAACTCAGAAGTGCGCACGTGGCTTTGGAGGGTAAATACAGCACTGGCTCACTAGCTTTCTGTTTTATATTTTTAGTTGTGAGCCTAGCCCCTAATGGCTGAGCCATCTCTCTCGAGCCCTGGGCTTTCCATTTTAAATCAACAACTTGACTGGTGGGAAGAGGAAGACAAAGAAAAGGAAGGAGCAGGGACACAAAGGTGGGAATGGAATGAGTAGACTAAATGTGCTCAAGGACCCCATGAAGTGCTCCCTTTCCCACCTAGTTCACAGCTCTCACAGTGACACATTGTAGGTTAGGAGAGGCAAAAAAGTGCAATTCTTTCAAACACTAAAGGAAAATGGAATCTTTGTTTTGGTTCTCATGTCATGTTACTGTGTAATTAGTCTTTGCCTTTAAAAAAATGCGAAAAGAACATTGTATCTGCTACTAATGTTGTCAATCCAAGGCAAAAGACCTTCAGTGGGGTCCTGCACAGGCTCTTCAGCAGCCTCTACCAGGCTTGAGGATGACAAAGAGAAGTAACACTGCTCCCAGGCCTCCAGCAGTGGAAGAAGTACTATTAAAAGGCAGATGCTAGAAGCCAGGGGATAGGAAGACAGACCCCAACCCAGCCTCGGCAAGGCCATTTCCAGGAGGTCTGACAGGCACAGGGAATGGGATGCAGAGCACAGACCCACACTGCCGCTCAGACGGCTGGCAACAGCACCACTGCCATAGAATGCTATCTATACTTGGGGAAGATGAAACTGAAAGCAAGGTTGGGTGGGTGGAAGTCAAGGAATACTGCCCCCTAAAGTATCTGCAAATTCCCTCAACCTTGGATAAAACCACACCACTCTTTAACAATGGCAAAGCCGTATCAGGGCTCCAACACTCAACAATGGCCTCACAAGTGAGCAACAATGCGTAAGTTAACATGGATCTGTGGCCAGGCAGTGGTGGTGCATGCCTTTAATCCCAGCACTCAGGAGGCAGAGGCAGGCGGATCTCTGTGAGTTTGAGGCCGGGCTGGACCAACAGCCTCCAAAACAATACAGAGAGACCCTGTCTCGTAAAAAAAAAAAAAACCATGGGTCTGTGAAACAATTAACTAGCCATCATCAGCATCAAGTTTAAAAGTAGAGCATTTAAAATGAGGCGATGACAGAAACTGGTGTTTAATCATAAAGTGCTTCCTTTCTCTACTGTAAGAAGCCTTGCTTTCCTACAAGTTCACATGCACGAGCCTGTGTGTGCATGTGTGTCTGCTTGCCTGTAACACACAGATGCACAGGAAGAAGCACACACGTAGTGAGCTGCCCCATGGAAACATGAAAAAAGGTTACAGTGATTTGCTAGAAGTACAGAGAGTAAAACTGTCATTAGGTGTTTATGTGTTGAGACTCTTACCATATGCTGAGATGAGAGGATTCCAACAAGCTTTTGCCAACAGTTGACCAATCGTGGGGAACCTTTCCAGGATTGCGTTAGAATCCTGTAAAAACAACAACCACATGTTTTGATAGTTGAAACACGCTACGAAACCCACACAATTCCTCGGGGAGCCTGAGTGCTCCTGTGCATCCTATTTTAGAAAGTGCACAGGGAGAGAGCAGAGAGAAGCCCTCTGTAAGAAATCAAAGTTTAACTTGTACTTCATCCCCAAAAGCTCAGCATGGCACAATTAGGTCATTTCAATTTTGTCAGAAAATTTATTGTATTTTACCCAAACTTTCTCTTTGTTGTTGTTTGAGATGGAGTCTCCTACATAGCCCTGGCTGTCCTGGAACTCACATGCTGGCCTAAACCTCACAGAGATCTGCCTGCCTCTGCCTCCCAAGTGTTGGACTATTTCACTTAAACACAACACACTGCAGAACACTGGTGATTAATATCCATGTAACCTTACCTCTTCAAACTGTAAATTTAATTTAGTATAAGAAAGACCCCTCACTCAGCTTTTCAAAGGTTTAACAGGACAAGAACTCTACAACCTGGAAAGGAAGGGAAGTGCCTGAGGCACTAAGTCTCGTGTCTCCATGTGTTACAGCCATGACTGTTACATGCTAAATGACATCATACTACAACCTGAGACGATAAAGCCACCCTCCAGACAGAAAGCAGCTTAGAAATAAGAGCGCAGTTTTGGAGCCCAACTAGGTCGTTTCCCACTCTTCTACCACCCGTAATATTCAGAAGAAGACCATGCAAGCCCATGTGCAGGGAAGCCAAAACACCCTATGAAGGGGACTCTGTCGGTATCCAGGCAGGGAGTGATTTTGTCAGCCTGGATCAGATTTGGGGAGTCTGATGCCGGGCTATTCACGTCAGCATATTTAAAATAGTATCATTTGGGGAAAAGTTTCCAGGAACTAACCGTTCCCATTCCAGGTGCACAATAAAGCTTCAGGTGTGACCACTTAGAAACCCCTTTGGAAACTCCGTGTAACCACGAGGGTGGGTTCTGTAGCTAAGGGGTCTGGAGTCTAGTGGTCTCTGATGGAGACAGCATGGAGGTCAGCAGGCCATGAAGCACATGTGACGTCAACCCTGAGGATGGGCTCTGTCAACTGAGACCCAGGGAGGGAGAGTCTGGCATAAGCATGGTGGGGGATTTGGGTGAGCTCTGTCTCTACAGTAAGAGGTGGGTGAGGTCTACCATCGCAGATAGCAAAAAGCTCACCAGATCATTAACAATATCCACTTCTCGATCTCTACGCTGGAAAACAGGCATGCTGTACTGGTTTCCCTAGTGAGCTATGGGCACAAGGACCTTTGTGTCCCTTACAAACCCATGATGTCACAGAAAGTTCCTAACCATAGTCCCAGGACTGGGCTGGGCCTAGACTTTGTGAGACCACATTAAGGTCACGTTACAGAAGTCTTACTAAAACAAAAAAAGAGTTTCAAAATTAGTACCACTTGTTCCACATGGCCTTTCCTTATCATTTCTAGGGACACATGAACCCATTATCTACAGAATAACATACAGAACTCATCTACAGAATAATCTATAGAAATTTGTTCTTCTAATTTCTCATTTGCTTCCGGGATGAATAAAGTATTACATGAAAGTACATGTTAACAATTGCTTTCATTTTCAAATTTAAAAATAAAATATAAAAAAACATGAAACACTAATATGTTTATAACATGAAAACATGGCTCTCAGCACTCAGGAGGCAGAGGCAGGTGGATCTCTATGAGTTTGAAGCCAGCCTGGTCTACATAGAGAGTACCAGGACAGTCAGGGTTACACGGAGAAATTCTGTCTCAAAAAAGAAACAAACAAAAATATCTAATACAGTAAACATAAGCAATTTATGTCAATAGGGAGATAAATTGGAATAAAAATAACAAACTGCATAAGATACTAAAAAATTATTTGAAAGGATCTCTTAAGATATTTGTTAGAAGAGATCTTACTATCTTAATAGTGAGGAATCAACACTAGACAGGATCTTAGTACCTCTTAGCAGTCCCTCCTTGAAAGCAGAGCTGAGGGAATGGCATAAAGCCCAATAACCCCTGGAAAGTCTGAAGAGCACAAGGACAAACCACATTTACTACCTACAGGAAGAATCCAAGCCCCGTAATTTAAAAACAACTTGCTTGGGTTTAGGATACATTTTTATGATAGGCTTGCCTAACATGTGGAAGGCCCTAGGCTCAATTCCAAACACTGCAAGAATGAATGGATTAATTATTAGTTCATTCATATAAAGAGCTTTCTTGGCCAGGTGGTCTCAGAAGGTATGAAAACAGCTCTTGTCTGCAGCACCTACCGATAATCTGTCTAAGTTCAGTTAAGTCAATCACACGAGTCCCTAACTCTAAGAAGCATTCTTGCTTGGGGAGTCCCTAATGTCACAGGGTACTTACCATCTCTTTCAAGAACTCATACATCTGCTTCAGGAACTCCTGGAACCTGGACAGGTGAAGACAGGTGTCCTGCTGGGTTTCCTTAGTGGAGGACTGTTCCCAGACAGAAAGCTTCTGCAGCCAAAATTGATAGTCTGAAGCAAGGTCTGCTGAGTCCCGAGCCATCTCTAGGCAGAGAATGGTGACATCCCTTCGCGACGGGCGGCCTGCCAAGCAGCACAGGAAATGGTGAGCATGCTTTAGGCCTTCAGAGAGGGAACAGATGGGACATTTGGGACAGGCTCCTCTATCAGCAGAGTCACAAGCCACCGAGGGGGAGGGCAGACTAGGAGATGAGCACAGCCTGCTCAGGATGCTGGAGTCCTCTCTGAGTCACTGGAAATGTGTCATCCAGCTGTAGCTCAGATCTTAACATCTGGACTTTTATCATGAATAGTGTCATTACTAAAGTCATTCCACTTCGACAGTAACACACTCATTGTGGACAAAAAGTACAGCTGATAACGCTTTACATCTCCTTAAGGTTGAGTTGTTTTTAAACATCTTGAATGTGAAGTTCCTTTGTGTATTCTTTTATCTTATTATTATTTTTTTAATCATAAACTGTTTGGCCAGTGGCTTAGCCTTCTTATTGGCCTTCCCTCCCCCCCCTCTCTCTCTACTATATTTTTAAAATTTAAATTAAAAACAATCATGCCAGGCGTTGGTGGCACGCGCCTTTAATCCCAGCACTCGGGAGGCAGAGGCAGGCAGATCTGTGTGAGTTCGAGGCCAGTTTGGTCTACAGAGCAAGTTCCATCACAGCCTCCAAAGCAATACAGAGAAACCCTGTCTTGAAACCCCCTCCCAAAAAATTAGAAACAATCTTGTTTTACATGTCAATCCCAGTTCCCTCTCCCTCCCCTCCCTGCCACTGACCCCCATCCCATCCTTCTTCTGCTCCATAGAAAGGGTAAGGCCTTCCATGGGGGAATCTTCAAAGTCTGTCACATCATTTGGAGCAGGGCCTAGGCCCTTGCTGTGTGTCTAGGCTGAGAGAGTATCCTTATATGTGGAACGGGCTCCCAAAGTCCATTTGTATACTAGAGATAAATACTGATCCACTACCAGAGGCCCCACAAACTGTCCAGGCCTAACTGACACCCATATTCAGGGGGTCTGGATCAGTCCTATGCTGGTTTCCCAGCTATCAGTCTGGTGTCCCTGAGCTCCCCCTTGTTCATGTCACCTGTTCCAGTGGTTTTCTCTAGCCTGGTCTTGACCCCTTTGCTCACCACTCCTCCCTCTCTGCAACTGGATTCCAGGAGTTTGGCTCAGTGTTTAGCTGTAGGTATCTGCTTCTGCTTCCATCAGCTATTGGATGAAGGCTCTAGGATGGCGTTTGGGCATTTAAGGTAGCCTCTCCACTACTGCTTAGGTTCTTAGTTGGGGGTCATTCTTGTAGATCTCTGGAAATGCCCTTTGTGTATTCTAAAGATGAGAAATCAGAAGCATCCGTCGGTGTGTTAACCAACAGTCTTTGCCTGAGAAATGCTTCTGATACCCTGATGCTTTATATGCACGCCTGGCTCCTCACTGAGGTATGAAAGAACTTGAAGCATTACTAGCTAATGAATTTTCTTCCCGGTTCCTCTTCACCTCTCAAGAAAACAAAGGTAATGTATTCCTCATGTATCACTGTAAGCAACCTGCTTAATTAAATGCTGCTCTAGGGAGCCAGGAGCCAGGAGCTGCTCAGTGGGCAGTGTGAGCTGTGCAGCCTGAGGACAAGGCTCCTGGCACATGTCTGTAGCTCCAGACAGATCCTCAGTGCTCATTGCTAACCAAACTACCCAGTGGGTGGGCACCAGGTTCAGTGAGAGGCCCTGTCTCAAAAGGCCAATGCACCCTTGGTGCACACACAACATGAACACAAATAAGTTAATAAAAGGCAAAACTAAAATTTTAGAACCACTGCTTTACATGTAAAATCCATCCACAAGAAGCCATATTTTCAAAAACCATAACACATATTTACTAGGTGGTGAACTCATTAAAGGACAAAAACTAAATCTCCTAAGCCTGACTTCCTGGCTCTGAAGTAAATGTAAGAAAACACAATGGGAGTAAATGGGCATCCTGTGCTTTGGGAGTAGAGGGATAGGGGTAGGCCAGTGGACACCAGAGGCCCCTCCAATCCAGTGCCTAATGTCCCTGTGGAGAAGAGCAGTTCCTCTCAGACCCCTGTGCTTCCCTGGAACATGGCAGCATAAAGAGGTCTTACCTCAAGGTAAAGTCCTCTCAAAAAAAAGTAAAGGCTGAGTTCAAATCTCAGCATCAGTGAGCAATTTAAAACGCTTCTACTAGGTGCCAACCCTCAAAGGAAAATGACCCTGCTTCCTAAGCAGGACAACGAAAGACACTGGAGGTGACAGTTGGATCACAGAGACGTGGACAGGGAGATGGCAGTTTCCAAGCGGCGATTTACAGTTTGGAGGACTCCCACCAAAGTGGAACCCAACAGAAGGCTTACTAACTGCACACTAGCCAAATGACACTAAGAAGCTAGAGATCTGCACTACTGACCTGGTGTAAGCCCCTCAAGGTGGGAGTGGCCATGTCAAGCCCCCAGGCTACTCTAATGGCTGTTTCCAGCCCCTCAAAATGCAGGCAGCCAAGCTCTGCCCTACAGAGGGGAAACAAAAGCCCACGGTCAGGCCACACAATCGCACAAGTCCCAGGCCACCCTGGAAAGCTCCCTCTCACCCCAAGGAGCCACATACAAAGCCTGTCTCCTGCTCAGTTCTCTGCTGTTTCTCACTGGAGCGGAGGCAGCCTCCCACTTCTGTCTTCCCCCCAAAATTCCGTGTGAGGTTTGTTGTACAGTGTGACTTTGTGATTTTTTTTTTTTGGTTCCTAACTGTCAGGATCCCTTCAGAGCTGCAGCACCTGGGTTGGGGAAACCCTTCCCCTCAGAGCTGTAACACTTAAGCCTCCCCTTCTCTCACTGTCCTCATCGAAACTATCTACAAAACTCTACCTACAAAATAACGTGGAACTTCATGACTTCCTTCCATCTCCCCTCCTGGACTGTCACAAGTATCTGCAGGTTTCATCTACTCCTCTAAAACTCATTCTCTATAAATAAAAAAGACAACTTTTGCATGTATAAATCCCACACACTCATTTAAAACTGCTTTTTCAGAGCTTCTTTGGAAAGAAATCCAGCTCAGCTAAGAAAAAAAAGAGAGAAAGAAAAGAGAGAGAGGAAGAGGGAAGGGAAGGAAAGGGAAGGAAGAGGAGGAAGAGGGAGGGAGCAAAGGAAAGGAAAGGGGGAAGAGAAGGGAGAGGAGGAAGGAAGGCAGGAAGGAAGGAAGGAAGGAAGGAAGGGAAGGAAGGAAGGAGGGAAAGAAGGGAGGGAGGAGGGAAGGGAGGGAGGGAGGAAGGAAAGGAAGGAAGGAAGGAAGGAAGGAAGGAAGGGAGGGAGGGAGGGAAGAAGGAAGGGAAGGAAGAAGGAAGGGAGGGAGGGAAGAAGGAAGGGAGGAAGGAAGGGAGGGAGGAAGAGAGGAAGGGAGGAAGAGAGGGAGGGAGGGAGGGAGGGAGGGAGGAAGAGAGGGAGGGAGGGAGGGAGGGAGGAAGGAAGAGAGGAAGGGAGGGAGGAAGAGAGGAAGGAAGGAAGGGAGGGAGGGAAGAAGGAAGGGAGGGAGGGAAGAAGGAAGGGAGGAAGGAAGGGAGGGAGGGA